ATCAGGGTTCCGTCTCAGTGGACCTGTACGTGCTGGGGTGGTGGGAGGTGGGGGGATGTGTGTGCCATTATCTTGACTGGCTGGAAGGCCTGGTGGTGGGAGGACACAATGCAAGAACAAGTTGAAAGTCCTTGGCTTTCTCTTTCTCTCTTATGAAAGAAGTAAAAATAAAATTAAATTAAAAAAAAAATAGAGATAAACTGCCTGACATTGACAGCTCCAAGATGTAGAAAAGGTCAAATGAAAGCAGATAACACTCGTATACTGGAATTATTGAGAACAACGGTCCCAAGATGTTATTGCCCCTTTGTTTCTCCCAGAGCAGCAGTATCATGACACTTCTCTCCTTAACCCTTCCAGTGGGCCCTCCCAGCTCTTGAAAAAATGAATTCTTACAAAGTTATACAAGACTCACCCGATCTGCATTCACTACCCAACTCTATCTTGGTTACTATCGCTTCTCTGATTCTGCAGCCAGGTTGATACCCTGTTTTCCTCAAAAATGCCCAGCATTAGCTGCTTCAGGCTTTCATACTTGGGAGTCCCACCTTCGCAGAGTGCGTTCCTCCAGTTATCTTTATGGAGCCACCTCATTACATAGCACCAGTGATGCCTTCTCAAGAACACTATTTTGATTTGAACTCTTGTTTTTTCCTCCCCTGACACTCTCTATCCCCTTTGCATTTAATTTTTACAATTTTTTTTCCTTAGTACTTTTTACCATCTGACATGTTTGCTTATTTATTTGTCATCTGTCTCTCCCAAGTAGAATGTTATCCTTGGAAGGATGAGGAGTGTGTGTGTGTGTGTGTGTGTGTGTGTGTGTGTGTTGAATCACTCCTGAATCCCTAGTGTCTACAATAGGGCCTGGTACATATCATATACACATAAACTATTTTTGATTGAATGAATACACAGAAAGGAAGAATAGAAAAGGAAAATGAGAATGGCATGCTAATTAAGGAAGACTGAATGAGCAAAGGCACATAAGGAGAAATAGGAATGGATATGATGTACAGGAGAAAGAAGAAACGACAAATCAAACATAATAGATAAATGACAAAGTTGGATTAATAAAGTTGTACTCAAGACATAAGGCAAACAAATGTAAGACAACCAGGCAAAGAGTTTGATGTAAACTAATCTGTAGAGTTATTTCAGATTTCTAGGAAGAGTGATCTAACAAATGTTTTATGAACACCAACTGAGAATTTGTTTGGAAGGCGAACTGAAAGACAGACTGCACTTAAGAAAACCAGCTATTGTAGATGCTTACAGTAGGGAAGCAAGTGGCCTCAGAAGGAGGAGGGCACTGGTAAAGAGAAAGAATGATGAAGGTCAAAATAGTAAGAAAAACTATAAAAGAGAAATCAAAAGGATGTGGTTAACTTTATTAAATCAAGAATAAGGAAAAGGAGGGGACCAGCAGTTAGCGTAATGGCTATGTTGCTGAACTCCCATGTAGTCTACCGTGGTTCGAGTCCCGGACTTGGTGGCTTAAACTCATGCCGGGCGCGTGTGCACCCAAGATCCTGAGAGGAGAATGGAGGAGAAGGGATTGGGCATGGCCATCCCGCCAAGATGGTGATTTCTCGCTTTCTGTCTCTCTTTCTTCCTGGCAAGCGCAGGTGCCCTATAGCAAAAACTTCTCCAAAAAAAAAAGAATAAGGGAAGAATAAGAAGAAGAAGAATCTTCTGTCAAGATTACTAAAATGTCAAGACTAGGATTGGGGAGATTGTTAGAACAGGGAGCCAGTTGGACAATAGTAGTCTGTAAGGGTTGCTAAAGTGAACTCTTGCTCATGTTCCTTCAACTCTTTATCGTTCCCAAAGGAAATAATGCTGAAAACTTAATGCCTTTCACTTCTATCATGTCTTTAAAATCATCAACAGGAGAAGGTAGATTCAGATGGTTATACGTTATGTTGATAAATGCCATATTCATTGATTATGTTTACCTAATTTGATGAGAAAAATGAGAAATCATTGCAACATATCATTGCTGGATTTGGAACTCCTTTTATAGCACCAAATGATTGACTATGGAGTATAATAAAACACCTTTTAATAAGTTTATTTTTAAATTATAGATACTGAATTTTTAGTAATTTTCTTAGTATGTTTGTACTGTTTGCAAAGGAATTGTCTTCTTGGATTTGAAACCTAGTGAAGGTTGGGGCTGGCAGGTGACGTGGTGGTTAGGGGCGCTGAACCTCCCACATGGCTGACTGCTGTTTGAGTCCCAGGCCTGGTGGCTTGCTTTCCCATCCCCCCACCAAGCCCTGCTCACTCACTTGCTCTGTCCCTCTCTGGTCAAATCAAAATAAGTAAATAAATGAAGTTAAATTAAGTAATTCTTTAATTAAAAAAGAAATTTAATGAAGGCATAGAATTAAAATATTTTATATGATTTTTAATAAAATTAGTAAAATTTATAATTATTTTCAGCTATTTTTCTTTTTTTCATCTTTAGCTATCATTTTTAAATTCTTATTTCTTATTCACTCCATTGTGACATACCATGAACTATTTCTCAATCTTCATATGTTCTCTATTTTATTTCAGTTAATTCATGTTCTTCTTTCTGTATAAGATCAATACTTCACACATGCACACATAATTTCAGGACACACCTAAACAATGAAAATGTTGATTTTACCTTTATAATTTTTGTTATATTTCAGATTTGGTGTGAAGAAGAAGCCAATTTACATTAATGTCATAAGAGATCCTATTGAGAGGCTAGTTTCTTACTATTATTTTTTGAGATTTGGAGATGATTATAGACCAGGGTTAAGGAGACGAAAACAAGGAGACAAAAAGGTAATACTCTAGTTATAACATTTTAGTAAATATAATTGTGTATGAAATGTGATGGATAATGTGCTTTTTAAATGTTATTGATTATAAATATACTACTTACTTATTACAGAAATTAAAAGAAAAACTCAAAAATAGAAGCAAAAGTAAGTGATGCTAGATACTTGGTGTATTATGATAATCAACATCTGGTGATTCAATTTGTTCTATGTTATGTGCCTTCTGTATCACTTGAAGGGGCAGTTTTTGTTTGTTTTTTTAATTTTTCTTTTTATGTTTTCTAGAAATTGCTATTTCTTTTCTTTGTGCCAAAATTTTAGGCAGACAGTACTGATCCAAACATAGATACTGACCAAAACATTTTTTAGCCTCTGCCTATCCCTTAGCATCTTTTAATTTTCTTAAAAAAGTTATTAATAGAGATTCTATAAAATTTTATAAATATACTAATATGACTTTTGTGACCTAGTCCTTAAGAATCTACTGATATTTATTTTTTTTAAATATGCTTGAGCTCTTATTTTCTTTCTAAAAATTTTAGCTCTATTCAGAGGGAGAAGGGAAGCGTATAGAGAAGGATAGCAAGAGAACAAACAGAGAGGCATGACATTAGTGGGACACAGAAATGGTTTATTACCTGTTGATGACGTGTATAGTATTCTCAACTGGAATGGCCTGAGAAGTAGTTCATGTTGAGTAAATTCTTTATACAAGCTAAATGATATATAGTGATAGAATGTTTAAAAAATAGTAGGAATAAATAATCTGAAAAATATTATGAAAAGCTATTTGATCATGATGTGGATAGTAATGTCTTTGTCTTTACTGATATGCATGGTAATCACGCTAGAAAAAGAAATGTAATACACTGTAAAGATATATGTGATTCAATGCAATATAAAAATTATGATAATAAATAAAACTTTAAAAAAATTTAGCCCTGTTATTTACACTTTTAGTAAATGTTAGTATCCATCTCCCACCTTCAGTCAAGAAATATTAATCTTGGTAAGGAAAAGATGTACATCTCCCCACCTCCACTGTCCGCTCTGGACAGCTTTTAGTTACTATCCTGTGTAGTGTTGGGGATTAGGTAACAATACGAGTTCACAGTTTCTGAGCATTTTTTTGCCTACCAAGCACTATTTGCAGTTGTTGGTACGTAGTTTTTCAGGTAACTTGCACAATTATGGGGGCTAGTTGCTGTTATTGTCCTCATTTTATAGATAAGGAGACTGAGGCACAGAAAGATGGAAGTTCCTTGCCCATTGTCATGTAACTAGTACCTGCTGAAGCTGAAGTTTAACCCTAAGCACTCTAATTCCAGACCAATAGTACAACTGCTCTTATGTCCCACGTAGTCGACTGTGGTTTGAGTCCTGGACCCAGAGGCTTTAAGTTCACTCCAGGCGCATGTGCATGCCCAAAATCCTGAGGAGAGTGGAGAAGGGATTGTGGTGTGGCCATCCCTCCCGATGGGTGATTTCCTGTTTTCTGTCTTTCTGATGAGACATGCACCCTAGAAAGACACCCCTCTCTTAAAAAAGAGGAATGGGGAGTATTACATGCTACTCAACATTTTCATGTGAAAGGTGTTCTAAAGTTATATAATACTTAGGGAGAAATCCAGGCAGCCTTTTAAACATCTCCTTTTTAAAGTGTTATAAAATACACGTTAATACACTTACTTACTTACCTTAATTGCCCTGGGGGCGGGGGGAGTACCTGCACTCACCAGAAAGAGAGGGAGAGTCATGCCGCAGTCCCTTCTCTGTTTCTCCATCCTGTCAGGGTTTTGGACACATGTACCTGGCATGTTTTTCAGGCCACTGGGGTTGGTATTCAAATCCATGTGAGTTCTGGCTCCCTTAACCACTAGGCTAGGCGGCTGGCCTAACACACCTTATTTATTTAGATGTAGTTTTAGTAACATCAGTAAAATATTATTGGCAGGACTAGCAGTTGTCATAATGGTTATGTTGCTGAACTCCCATGTAATCGACAATGGTTCAAGTCCTGGACCCTGTGGCTTAAACTCACGCTGGGCGCGTGTGCGTGCGTGCCCAAGATCCCGAGAGGAAAATGGAGGAGAAGGGATTGTGGCGTGACCATCCCCCCTGGGGGATGATTTCTCGCTTTCTGTCTCTCTGTCTCTGTCTGTCTGGCGAGTGCACACACCCTATAGCAAAAACCTCTCCAAGAAAAAAAAATTATTGGCATTGTCTTAACTCTCATAATGACAGGGATATCTATAAATAATGCCTTATTAAAGAGATTTTGGTGTGTGATAGACAGTCTTATGACTGTCTATCATATGACTGTCTAATATTAATGATTAGACTTTTTTTTCTTTTATATACAATTTGGCTTGTTTCTTGTGATATAGGTAGGTAATATTCTGGGAACTAATGAGTTAGATGATACTGTTTTGTTGTAAATAATTCCTTAATATCTTTAACTGGAAAGAGTTTTTATTAAACTCATCTGTATAATAGATAAGACTGTATGCATATGGCATTTCTGAAAATGGAAGGATATTTGCTGATAATGGGGATTAAAAGGGTGTCTATGATTATGTTCACAATACCTCACACTGGCACTTACTCTCAGAGAAGTCTGCATAACTTCATTTCCATGAAATTGTGTATTATTTGCACCTCACTTGATATTTTGAAGCATATTAGACAATTTTCAATTCAGCACTCATTACAATTACTATGTTTTATTTATTTTTTAGAGAGATTTTTGCTATAGGGCATGTGCACTTGCTGGAAAGACAGAGAGACCACAAGTGAGAAACCATCCCCTCTACCCCCCCCCCACTACAGGGGTGATGGCCATGGCCACACCACAGTCCCTTCTCCTCTATTCTCGGTATCTTGGGCACAGAAACACACACACACACACACACACACACACACACACACACACACATACCTGGGTCCAGGACTCGAACCACGGTCAACTCTGTCAGGATCCAGTGGCATAATCATTATGCCAGAACTTTACATTTCTCTGGTATACTGAACTGGATGTTGTAGAAGAAGGGAAGAATCTGGAATGTTTTTGTTTATATGTTTTTTTTAATAAGAGAAAAATATAGAAAATTCTTCTGGATTGTGATCATGCTGAGGAGGTGACTAATGGGAGTTAACATTTGAGTGACAGTCTTCTGTGATCTGAATAGAGAAGCCCAAGTGCCAGTGTCACTGTTGGAGGCAGTGTAGCAGTTCTTCCTGATTAAGATCTCAGTGGACTCAGAGGCCAGCAGGTGGCATGGTGGTTGAGGTGCCAGACTGCCACATGGCTGAGAGCAGTTCAAATCCCAGACCTGGCAGCTTGCTTTGTCACTTTTTCTCTCTCTCTCTGGTGAGAGAGAGAAAGCAAATTTTAAAAATAATAATGATAAATAATTATTAAAAAAACAAATCTCAGTGGACTGATCCATAAGCAGTAAAGATGGTACCATGTCATCTTAATTTGGTTTCTCTCCTAGAAAATACTTGGTTTATTTCTCAAATATTTGTATAGAAATGGGAGAATTTCTGTTAAATGCTAAGATCTGGAAGAATACTCATGTATGTGTAGCCAATTACTGATTATTCATATTTTCCTCCCTCCACATCTTCCCTGCTACTGGCCATCTTTAGGTTCTTTTAGTTGATAGGGGAGAGATACTTTTCCCAAATGCTAAGGAGCATTCCTAAATGAGGCAAACTCCAAACTATTTTTTCCACTTTTATACTGTCTAATAAAATATTTGGCAGGTGCGTTAGAGTAGATGCTGTTAAAATGCTGAAACAAACCCAAGTAGTTCAAATTGGATTATCCCTCTGTCACCTAGAAGCCTAGTGATGAAAGGTCCAGGCTCTTGGGGCAACTCTGCTGCATGCCATTACTCGGGATATAGGTCCCTGCCGTACTGTTGCTCTGCCCTTTGTCAAGATGCTGCTATCTAACTGGTTAAATCTGGGTCACTACCATACCTACCTTCCAGACCATGGGAAGAAAGTAGAAGGCAAGCAGTTCTTTCTACGCAAGTGACCCAGAGGTTGCCTGCATCACTTCTACTTCCAGGCCACTGGCAAGACCTTAGTCTCGGCCACATCCAAGTGTGAGAGGCTGTAACTCTGTGAAGGCGGAAAAGGGAAGAGTGGATTTCAGAGGTAACTCTTAGTCTGCCAAAGTAGGTTAGCAGATTTAAAACTACCGGCCAAAAATCCATTCGAAGATTATCTATAGATTTTTATTTTTGCTCGAAGTACTAAAATACTTCAAGAGCACAGAAACTAGGAGTTGGTTAAGTAACGAATTTGGGTTAAAATAGCCATCCTGCATAATTACTCACTTTTAATTGTTTTAATTCCAATAGTGTATATTTAAATTTCAGAAGTTTTCTACATAATAATTTATGGAAACTTTTAATATTGCAGCCTCTTTAATTATCTAGTTTCTTATATTTAAGCAAAGCCTCCCTAATGTCCCTCAGTCTCACATGCACAATCATACACTACATAAAATTGGTAGGGCTTGTGAGTTCACCCACAATCACCTTGGAGTTTCTTTCTTTCTGTCTTGTACTCTACTTGGGTAGAAGTGTAAAGAAACTGAGCACCTTCACTGAGCTTTAGAGACAACATGCCATGAGCTCCTGGACTTGTTAGAAATTGGCTAGATGCGGAATCAGAAACTTTCTGACCTGTCATCACTCGGTTCACTAAGCTAGATTTTTATAGAATTTGGCACATAGTGGACATAGACAGGCCACATAAGGGTGTGTGTGTGTGTGTATGTGTGTGTGTGTGTGTGTGTGTGTGTGTGTGTGTGTGTGTGTGTGTGTGTGTGTGTGTGTGTGTTATTAATTGGCTTAAATAATGATGAAACTACTTTTACAAAATGGCTTAGGCTAGTAATCTAAGTCAGACCATATAACAAATTCAAAAATTATATCATGGCTGTTGTGGGGCTTATTGAGTGTTAAGTGTAAGCTTAGATATTTTCACTTAAAATAATGTGTGTATGTGCACACAAACATACTGAGAGAATTTGGGTGAACTCTGAAGAACTGTCAAAATGCCTCACGAAAAAATTTTATTGCATCTGTCTCCACCAGAACTATTTCTTTAATACTCATATAAATTCCCAAAGTATAGTCTTTCCAGTCGCCACTTACAAATATTGTCAAACAGTTTGTATAGCAGTATACCATGTATTATGGAACATACAGCTGCGTGTAGCATGAGCCCTTCATGAAGCGTTCACTATAGCTTAAGAGAACATAACACACACAAAAACACATGAAGCAAGTCATGTAGATATCCAGATCCCAAGAGCTGGGTGTTACAGGCAGTGTAACTAACTGATACAACTTGAAAGACAATTAAGAGTGACTTTAGAGGATGTTAGAAGTGACCACTTGGGCTGATCTGGTAACTGTACAAAGCAAATTAGAAGGAAGAGTAGAAAAGGAGGTCATTAGAAAGCTGTAGAAAGAACACATGATACTGTGAGATCCGGATAGAAGTAAGCGTGGGAGAAGAAAAGATGGACTGGAAAGGCGTTACTTTGAGGATGTAAGGTGAGGGGAAAAAAGATCAAGATACGTTCTGAGACCTTGAGTCTGAGTTATAAGAGGCAGTATAATCCTGTTGTTAGAAATACTGAATGAAAGCATGGGCTGGCAGTGGTGTGGTGGTTAAAGGTGCTGGATTCCTACAGCCAACTGTGGTTTGAGTCCCACACCTGGCAGCTTGCTTTCTCGCTTTCCCTTTCCCTTCCTCTCTCTTTCTCTCTCTCTCTCTGGTCAAATTAATAAGTAACAATAACAAATGGAAATAAATAAAAAGGATATTTTTTAAAAGAAAAAAATAATGAATGCATGAACCTCGTCTGGAGCAATCCCGGAGAAGGCCCCTCAGGCCCAGATAAAAACCCCTTGCTCCAGTTCCTCTTTGCAACCCATTTTCTGGGACCCCTCCCTTCTTGGGAGTTCTGGTTTTCCTTCCCTCTCCTTCAATAAATTCCCTGCTTTGTTATACCTGGAAAAAAAAAAAGGAACGAAAAAGGGAAAAAAAAGAAATATTGTATGTGCAATAACACTGGAAAGTCACATAAAAATACACAATAAATATTTAAAGATTGATAAGTGACACAGGCTGTGTAGCCCTTATCCAAAATGCTCAGGACCAGAAGTGTTTGGGATTTCAGATTGTTTCAAATTTGGAATATCTGTATATAAATAAAGATATCTTGATTGGACCGAAAGAATAAAAATCCTTTATATTTTATGTACCTTACACACCTAACCTGAAGATAACTTTATACAATGTTTTTTGTATTGTGGAATTCTTGATTGTGACCTGTCACATGAAGTCAGGTATGAAATCTATTAATATTTGTAGTATCATGTTGGCCCTCAAAAAGCTTTGGATTTTGGAGCATTTTGGATTTCAGATTTTTAGATTAGGGATGCTCAGCCTACAGATCTGGGGCTATAGACTTGGAAGTCATTTGCGTAGAGGTTATAAATTAAGCTAAAGGTTGTCAGGAAGTAGGCTAAAGAAAGGAGTGGGCAAAGAGAACAACAACAACTGAACATTGTATTTGAGTATTCGTAAGGCGAGGTCAAGAGAGAGGCGGGTACAGACATGCACATCCCGTTACTGAACACCTTCTCTGTACTAGTCGTTACAGTTGATTCTTTTCTTGGGTTGTCAGCAAAGTTGATGCATTTTTGGATAGAAAAACG